CACTACACATCCATCGGATGGCCACTATCAAAAGAACAGAAGATATCAAGTGTTGACAAGGATGTGGAGACACTGGAACCCTTGTGTGTTGTTGATGGGAATGTAAAATGCTGCAACCATTATGGAAAACAGTATGGTGATGTCTCAAAAGATTAAACATAGAACTACCGTGTGATCTAGCAGCTCCCTCTTCTAGGTAAATATCCAAAAGAATTCAAAGCAGGATCTCAAAGAGATAATTTGCACACCCATGTTTATCACAACATTATTCATAATATCCAAGATGTGGAAGCAAACCAAATGTCCATTGAGAGATGAATGGATAAAGAAAATGGTATATACATACAATGGAATATCATTCAGCATTAAAAAAGAAGGAAATTCTATGATATGCTACAACATAGATGAATCTCAAGAACATTATTATAAGCAGAATAAACCAGCCACAAAAGCACAAATACTATATGATTCCACTCATAGGAAGTATCTAAAGTAGCCAAAAATCATAGAAACAGGAAGTAGAAAGGTGGTTACTGCGGACTGACTGGAGGCTGGGAGAGTTAGTGTTTAGTGGGTATAAAGTGTCGATGTTGCAAGATGAAAAAGTTCTAAAGATCTGTTACAAAACTGAATATACTTAATACTGCTGAGCTGTACACTTAAAAATGGTTAAGGTGGTAAATTTATGTGTTTTTAGCCACAATAAAAAATACTGGCCGGGGTTGTGTGGGGTCAATTTCTAAGTAACCAGATAAATGTTATAACAAACTGGTGTAAAGGAATCTGGTCTTTTTTAACATTTAGAAAAATGGTTCACAGACCAGGTAAGTGGAGGGTGGGAAGAAGACAAAGATTTAAAGAGGGAAAAAAAAGACTTAGACTTATCCTACCCTCTTTCCCCTAAATCCTGATTTATTCACCCTTCCCCTCCCACATGATTCCTTGTCACTCCATTCCATTATAAAGCACCAGTTCAGAGAACAGGAGAAATTTAGAAAAGTGCATAAGCTTCATCTTCCATTTAAATCACTGGAAGAAGTACTTTTTTTCTGTAATCTCATTTTAAGTGTTAACAGTTGTGCTAATATATATATATGATGTTTTTGTCATTTAGTATGTAGATGAAGTATGTATTCATATAAATAAGCTCTACAGTATAAATCTTGACAGTTTTATTTGTAGACCTAGTTTTGAATTTTGTGGTTCAGGTTATCTATATTATTATTAGAAAATGTTAATCACATATTGCTCCTTGTACCTCTTAATTTAGTGGGCCATCTTTTAATTTCCTTTCCATATTCCCCCCGTTCCTCCCTTTTTGGTTTCAACAGTTTTAGCAGTTCATTTTAAATTGACATCTGCTTTCAAAATTTAGATTGTAGAAAAAACTATATATAGTCCATAATTATAATAATTTTATGGATTTCTGTTTGGCTAATGGGACAATCCCTTTTATAATTATTCTGGAACAGTAAGGCAATATATCTTACGTATGTTTTTACTCTAAAAAGTAAAACTTAGTAATGACAACTCATCTATATATCAAATTTATAGAATAATAAAAAAGATTTATTCCCTTTGAAATATGTAAATATGATGTCTGACTGCATTTGAATTGCCCTTGTTTTGATATACACAGCTCAAAATTAATGAGTTTCTGTTGTTTGTGTGCCATTTAGCTAAAGGCAATGAAAATAATTAAAAATGTTTTTGCTCTTTGGGAAGTTTTTAGTTCTGATTTATTAAAAATAGAGCCAGAAGAATGTGTGAGAACCTGCTTTGTGAGATACTCTTCAGACCTGTAAACTCAAATACAAATGACTTGGAGCTGCTAGAAGAAAAAAAGTAAACTCCTTGGAAATGTATTTATGAAATATTGGTGACGATAATGAAGAAGGAAAAGTTGTGAAATTATTCTTAATATCACCCTATTTCTTATTACAAGGAAAATATATGTATTGTATTGGCTTTTGAGGGTCCTTTTGATATAAACTGGTTTAAATTTTATGTGGCTTGGGTATTTTGCAACATCATCAGTTACTAATATAGCACTATTATAGTTAGGTTAGTGGCATTAGCAAACTCATTTGGGAGCTGTCTTCCATGTTTGTTTGCAAATGGTGCAAATATGCCCCATATTTTATAAAAAGAAAAGGGGAATTTGTAGTAACAAGATGAAGATGTTCAAAGCTCAGCTTCTCTCCTGATACAAGTTAGAGAAATCAGTGTCCATTTGCAGATAAGAATTTAGAATTTAGTGATGGTTTTTAAAATTCAGGAACATGAGGAGGATTATCATATAATAGTTTGTGATTCTTTGAAGCAAGGCATTTGTATAACAGCTAATAAACCATGCATTTGAAAGTGAACTTTTTCTTTCCTATACATATTTATAAATGTCCTTCCTGGGCCATTCATGTAGTTCCTTAAAAACTCTGTAAGTAAACTTGTCAGTGTGATTGATTGTAAAGCCTTGAATAGAGTTGCTCTCTCATCAAAAAGATGAACTGACAGCTAGGGATTATAGGGATGAAGGTATGTGAGATGAAGAATTTATCTTCTTATCCATTGTCTTCATAAACTATCAGAAGTAGCCTACTAGTTAAGCAGTACACAAACCTTGTCTGCTATTACTGTATTTGTCTAGGGTTCTTAGTCCCTTATTTCTCTACTTAGTATTAAGGCATTAGGAAAAATACCTACTCAGTAGGAATTTGCAATTCACAGGTAAGTTCAAGTCTGATTTAGGATATAAAAATTTAATTTAGCATTGCCAACCAGATTGTTATTTGGAAAATGTCTCCAGACTAATGAAGCGTGCTTTGGCTAATGGTACATAGATGCTTTTCTGTTATAAGCGCTAGTTTGGTTTTTTTTGGCCTTTTCACAGGTGCTTATGTAAATCAAATCATAAAAATGAATAGAAGTATAGAAGGGAGTAATGAAATTGTTTAATATTGTGTGATCATAGATAGAAGAATGATTGAGCTAAGGTTTGGGTGGGTCTCCTACTAGCTTACAAAATGACTTGAAGCAAGTATGTTCCTGTACTGTAATAATGGGTGACATATTGAGTACTTACTATGTTTCAGGTACTATGTAATAAACCATTTAAACTCCATAATCTTATGATATAGATGCTAATTTTCCACACATTTTATGAAACTGAGGCTCAGAGAGAATCAGGATTCCCACCATAAGTAGTAGTGGGGCCAGTATTTCAAACCAGGTAGTCTCACCCCAGAACTCCTGCTCAGGTCTGCCTGGTAAAGTGCTGCCTACAGTCTGCGCACACTCCATGAACGGTGCCTCTTCAGCCTGCTCACTCTGCACAGCCAAAGCCTTACCAGTACACCAGACCATCTTCCTGCTGTCTAGTAGGTACACACTTCCAAGTGCCAAGCGTAAGGAGATGAGTCCAATGTGCTGCTAGTAGGAGACACACATAAATAAATAGTATCCTCACATGCAGGGAAGAGAGAGCACACAGGGTGAAGGGAGCTGTCAGTTTTCTGTGTCCCCCCGTCCATAATCTCATTCTGTAAACGGACATTACTCCCTTCTCATAAATCTACAGCAGGTTCTGTGTCCTTTTCATTCTTCATCACTACATCCTGTTGAAGTAAGGAGGAAACAGTGCTACTTTAGAGATAGAAAAAGAGACCTGGAAAGGTTAAGGGCCTTTCCTAGAGGCTCAGTAAATCATTGGTACCAGAACAATAATTTAGGGCCCCAAATGGACAGTTAATTTCCTTGGTAGACTAGGAAATTGCACATTTCCCTGAAATTCTTCTAAGCCAAGAATCTTTTTCCTCTTTTTCCCCCTCATTTAACATGTCTTTTTCAAGCCTTTGTATTTTCTAAGCTCGCAAATATGTGGAAAGTCTTTTTCTGGTATTTAGCAAATAATGCAGCTATTAAAAGTAGACAACTTCTAGACCACAGGCACACCTCAGAGATACTGTGTACTTGGATTCAAACCACCGCAGTAAAGCCAATTGTAATCTTTTTGCTGGTGGAGGGCCTTATCTTCAATTTGTAAAAGACAACATCTGTGAAGCACGGTAAAGTGCACTAAAATGAGGTGTCCCTCTATATGGCCATTGTGACCTCTGGGGACTCCACAGGGGTACTCCAGCTGCATTGGTGTTCTTCAGGGAAGAGGGTGGTGATATGGTAGCTCCGTGGGAAGGTCTCTGGGCACCTTCTCTGCTTTGGGCCAAAGGTAGCAGCTCAGGGACCAGATGAAGCAGATGTTTTTGTTCGTAGGACAGACTCAGCTACGTCAGCGTAAGCAACATTTGCGGGGTGCTGGAGTACCATAACATGCCGGAGGTGCTAGAGGTCCAGGAGTGTTGGCTGAATCATCTGTGATGGGTGCCCAGTGAGGGAGGAAATACAGAGAGTGCACACACTTGACTTCCTTCTTAGAGCTGCATTTGGCAATTAAGCCAAACATTGTGGGGAAGGCTTCCATTCATTTCGTCTTGACCTGCAAACTCCTCTCATTTAGCTATCAGGTTGATAGTAAATGTCATTGTGTCTGTGTACTGTAATATTTGATAAGACATTCTTTTTTCCCTTTCCCAAATCCCTAGTAAAATGGATCTTAACTGTTTTGGATCAGGGACTACACAGAGAATTTGGTGTAAGCCTCTGGAAAAATGCACACACTTAACTTCCAGAGTTTTGCTCATTATTTCAAGGAGTTTGTGGCCCTTCCCCCCAAAAGCTGATCTGTGAGCTGTGGAGTGAGAGTAAATAACCCTTACTGTAGATTTTCCATAGTCACTGTGTTTAATATTTACAGAAATACTGTAATTTTTTAATCTGTAGATGTTTCACAAAAAAAGGTGGTTAATGTTCTTCCATATTGATGAAAAGTAAACAATATGTTTTAAATCAGAACATATACACATTGTGCTTCAGGAAATTTTTATCAAAGCTTAAATTTTGAATAACAGTTGTCTAATATTTACTTTTATCTCCCTCTCTTAAAGCTTGGTAAAATGCGTCTGACAATTCCATGTCGGGCTCTTACATGTTCTCATCTGCAGTGTTTTGATGCAACTCTTTATATTCAGATGAATGAGAAAAAACCAACATGGGTTTGCCCTGTCTGTGATAAGAAGGCTCCATATGAACACCTTATTATTGATGGGTATGTCACTTGAAAGTTTTTCCTTGTACCTTGAAATGACATTATTTGGGTTTGTTTTCCATCAGGCATGGGATAAAAATTCTACAGGTAGTGTTTTCTGAGTCATATATTAGGATTTTCATGATTCTAGAAATCAGTATTTTTCAAAGTAAGTAATATTGTGACATTTTTCTTTTTTAACTTGATGTCCTCTTGTTTTAGAAATGTATGCTTTACTGACATTTACGATTTAAAGCACCAGTGGTTCTAAGCAGGGTATGCTTATGCCTTTTCCTAACATGAATCTATAGCTATCTGTAGACATTTAGACCACATTAGAGAAAGAATGAAAAAATTATGAAACACTGGTTAACTAAGCCCCAAAATTGGGCGTTTTAGTAAAAGTTAGCCTGTTTTTTGAGATTTTTCTTGTGCTTCAGTTATGGCCAGTTGTACCTGTTCTCTGCTGTAAGGGCTCCTAAAACTGATCAGCACACTGAACAGCAACTTTGTTTTTCTATTTCCTCTGAAATACTTGTCTTTGTCTTTCTTGTCCACCTACAACATCACAACAGTCTATTTTTTTTTATCTACCAGACACCTTGGAATGTTCCTCTAAATTTCCCCGTATTCTCTAGCCTCCTCCCCCCACCCCCTTTTTTTGCCACTGAACAAAGAGAAATTGTGAAAAGAAGGATCTTCTTGATATTTCCTGTACTTCCTAGCAAAACGCTTAAGGCAGCTTTTCTATAGTATTTGAGAAGACATAGGCATCTGAAGGTATAATAACTTAGGGAATGGAATACATTTAGCAATACAAGGGTAACCCAGACCTTAAAAGATGTTAGACCAGTCATGCGGGAAAGAGTAAACATGTAACTTAAGTGTTTTATGTTTAATTTTTCAAAGATAGCAATGGTCACTAATAAATCTGAATTGAATAATATTTTACCAATGCTATATAATATATTACTTTAGATCCCCTGTCAGTTGGGACTTTTCTTTCTTATTATAAAAGCCCCCTCCCCCCACATATACATGCGCGCGCACACATTTAAAGAAAAATTGGAAGACATAGGAAAATTAAAAGCTTTATGTTGTTTTCACATAATTGTGATTGTACAGTATTAATATTTTCTTTGTTTTAATTTAATATTACAGCCTAAGAATTTAACCATTAATTTTACACATCCTTTGCAAATCTTTTTTTAATATCTGCATGATATTTATCAAGGGGAATTAACATTCAATACATATTTTTGTATGTATTGCTTCAGTTTATCAAATAAGATATGCTTATTGTAAGCAATTTGGACTATATTTAAAAAGTATAAAAAATAAAAATATCTATAATGTCACCACTTAGAGATAACTGCTGTTTATTACCATGTACACAGAATTTTATTTTTTTTTAAATCTTTGGAAAGCTCATTTTTCATGGTTACATAATATTTTCTTGCATAAAGGTACCATAATTTAAGTAACTGTTTTCCTCTTTAGCCCTAAATTTTGAGAACAAATGTAACTTGTCTAATCCACTTTGTTCTTTCTCATTTGTACTTGTACAAAACATAGGCCTGAATGTTTTTTGAACAGTAATAATTCTAATCTATCTTCATGTAGAATGTGATATTCAAAGGACATGTTGTTTTTTATAGCTTGTTTATGGAAATCCTAAAATACTGTACAGATTGTGATGAAATACAGTTTAAGGAGGATGGCTCTTGGGCACCTATGAGATCAAAAAAGGAAGTACAGGAAGTTCCTGCCTCTTACAATGGAGTTGACGGTGAGTGTTGGCTTTCTAAAAGAGTGGGGCAATCCTCCTGCTGTTGTAAAACCTTGGTTTTCAATATTAAAATGCCCAGATTTATAGAAAACATTCAGCAGTTTATGGATTGCTCAGTAACTCTTTATTAAATTATTGATTGAATGTTTAGAAGTAGTGAAACTCCTTTTAAACTCACATTTTTGCCAGCTTTTAAAATTTTATGGTATAAGATTTCAAAGTAACATAATCTAATAAGTCTTTGGAAAGTCATGCTTTTGAAATGGTATCCTTTTAAATGTTTAACAGATTTGGTGCAGATTTGTGAACGTTCTTTCATTTACATTTTTTTCCTGGCTTTTAATATGTTTTTGCTGGAAAGAGGCTATATGACTTTTTAAAAATGTTACTATAACATTTTTTAAGTATATCAGGTACTGTACAGGTAAACATGTAATATATAGTCTTTGCCCTCAAACAGCTTTTATTCTAAAGTGCACATATATTTTGATTATTTGCCGTAATTCAGAATGTTTTTCAAAAAAAATCCTTTAACAACCAATCATAAATAGTAGGTTTAAGCTTAGGAGAACAGAGCCACTGTTGGTTTTCTACTCTCTGACACCAGCAATATTGTTAATCTAGACTATAACTGATAAATTAACCCATAAGCACACTGAGAAAAAAAGAGAGATGTCATAGGTCTTTTTTGCCTTGTGTTTTAATCATTCCTACACAGGATGCTTGAGCTCCACAGTAGAGCATCAGGTGACTTCTCACCACCAGTCCTCCAATAAAAATAAGAAAGTAGAGGTGATTGACCTCACCGTAGACAGTTCATCTGATGAAGAGGAGGAAGAGCCTTCTGCCAAGAGGACATGTCCTTCCCTATCTCCCACATCACCACTAAATAATAAAGGGTAAGTGCTGAGACCTTAAAAAAAGTCATTGTGAAAGTCAATTTTGCAAATAGGATTGAAAGATCTGCCAAATAAAATGATTATGCATAACTGTAAAATTTAGCAATTAAAGAATAAGTTTAAGTTTCCTCTGGTATGTGATTATTCTTGAGGAGTCAGGATAATGTATTAAAGGGGTCACTTGAATATAGTATTATATCAAAAGATGATTCTAAGACACTGGCTTTCAAATTTTGGTGTATATCATAATAACCTGGAGGCCTTATTAGAACACACATTGCTCCTCTACCCACCCCATGTCTAATTCAGGAATAGGACTGAGAAAATTTGTATTTCTCGTAAGTTCCCAAGTGATCCTAATGCTGCTCATAGGATTTAGAACACTTACTCAAACTAGAAAAGGTATACTGTAAAAATAACCCTAAGTATTTGAAATAGAAAGCACAGGAAGACCAGATAAATGCTTTAAACCTGCCTTGGAATATGTCAAGCAGACAATGAAAGAAGCCTAAGACTTCTTACAGTATACATGACTTCTATTCTGCAGACTCATTTCCCATTAGTCTCATAATAATGTGCCCTGGTTATGCCTCAGCACAGTTCATAAAACACTGTTATGTATTTTATGTAAAACACCCTGTGCTGAACAAGGGTGATAATAAGATGAGTAAGTACAGCCTTACCTTAAAGAGTTTAACATTTTGTAGAAGATGGTAAAACAAGTAGCTAAACCTAGTTGTACTCTTATACAGACTGTTAGTCTCATGAAACACATTGGGGATTCTCAGCAAAAAGACTTCATGTTTTGCTGAGGGACAGTTGTAGTGTACTAAAGTCTAGAAATAGATGTGCCCCCTTTTAGGTATCTATCAGGAGAATTACCTAGCTGGTTGTAACGAATAGGAGCTATTCAGAAAATCTCCTTCCAGCAAACAGTAGCACCTGGAGAAAGAATGGACGTGAGAGAGGTCCACAGAAGGCATTGTTACAGATTTCAAGGTTCAAGAGGGAAAGTTAATACCAGAGCAAGAGCAGACATTTCTGATCTTGGAATCAAATTATTTTCAGGTTTGATATTGTTTGATAAAATAAGAAGATCTTCTATTTGAATATATCTGTAGTTACTTGAAAGATAAAGTTGCAACAATAAAAGAGCGTATTTGTGATAAATATGGCTCCTCACTCGTTAGAGGACTTTGACTCTTTCAGAAATCTTCATAACACAGTCAAACACATTACAGGATGGTATTTTCACTCTAGAGTAGCTTATCTCAGCATACAGATTGACAGAAATTAAGACATTAAAAGCAGTATCGTTATTCTAAACAAAATGAATTTAAACATTAATTCTGCTTTAAATCTTACTTTATGAACATTTACCTCTGATGAAAGCCTACCTTAATGGCTGTTACCCAGCCAATCCTGACCTTGTTATTACATCAACCTATGTTATAAATGTGAGTGGGAGAAAAAGAAAAATCAAATTACGAGAAGTTGGCATAGTTAGAACAAATAGCTATAGAATTTTGATTCTAAGATATTTTATATCTAATATCAAGCCATAGTATACAAAATACATATTATCATATTATTTATTTGAATGCCATAATTGCAACATTAAAAGCTATTTCCTAAATCTCTAGATGTATAAATACTTCATAGATTAAATGCATCATTACATGTGTTGTTAATTCTACCCTTTAAAATATTAATAGTAGTCATATAATATATAATAGTAATATGTATATAAACTATGCAATAATTTTACTGTCTGAATATACATTTTTCCTTAAAGTAAACTTTTTTGAGTGTTTAGAAATCTAATTATTTCTTTGGATATTTACTTGGCTATTTCTCCCAAAATAGCTGTGTTTATTGTATTTGGAAAATTACATTAGATGCATTAACTACTTCCTAAGATTCCCAGTGCATAATTGAACCCAGACATTGTATTTGGAAATGCCAAATCTTTCTCTATTTTCAGATAAAACAAGCAACCTGAAAGTTTATGACATTTTTAGAAGAATAACACCATATTCAATACTGGTGGCCCTTTTACAGTTATGACTAGCCAATAAATAGAAGCCTAAATCCAGCATATTTTATTTGTTATTGTGTATTGTAAAGGTGGAAATGCATTTCAGAATGTTGTCACAAAGCTGAAAGAAAAAGAGCTAGGCAGGAATTAGAAAGAGGCAAATATTAATAAATGTAAAACACTTTGCTGTCTTCAGCCACTGAGTGTTTAGTATTCACCCAGAGATTTCCTTTGCTGTTTGGTGTACCAAGATATTTTTCAAAGACTAGCATTTCAACTGCTTTCTTCTCTCTTGTAATCCCTCAGGCATTGTCAGAGGAGACAGCTAATGGAAAATGGTACTTTTTATAGACGTAAGAGGTTTAATTGTTTCCATTAGATGGAACATTTTTATGAAGCAGATAAGAGTGTATTTTATGCTTCATATCCCATTCATAAAATGTAGATAGTCACAACTAAATCTCCATTCCTGGAAATCCAGTCTTAGCATCTTTTGAAATATTCTGTGCCATTGAAATTGTACCTTCACACCCCAAGTACTATACGTGAAGCTTTAAAAGCAAAAGCCTCTTTATGCCTTTTTCCCCCTTTATTTTCTATAATTTATATACCTATTAGCTTCCTAATGGTTAGGATAGCATATGATCTTATGTTTGCACTCAGGACTATTAGAATTCTTTTTCTTTTCAAAATCATTCCTTTTTCCTTTCTTTTCCCCTCCTTTTGTTTTTGCCTAATTTCTGGTAAAGAAAACAAGATTTGACTACTCAGCTCCTTAAACATTTCATTCTATTCCAGAATCCTCCGCCCCCCCGCCCTTTTTTTCTAATGATACTGGTCTCCCTTTAAAAACTGCACACCTGTTCATTTTGGAGCATCTCTTTTCCTCGTCTTGCCACTTTTGTTCATTCAGCAGGCCATTTATGTAAACAGTGTGCTGGTGACTGCTGAGCATTGGATATACCAAGATAAACAGTACCTAGTTTTTGTTCTCAAATCTTACAAGTCTCGGAGCCAGCTACTAACTCCTCACTGCTCTGATTGCTCCATTCCCCCAGTCTATTTTCTTTACAAGAACTTACGTATACTTTTTACTAGCTGGTGCTCCGGGGCTTGTCTTTAAAAGGCTTCAGAATCTCGTCTGTTGTAGATACCTTGCACCATGTCCCACTGAAGTGGCTCAGCCATGCCTTCCCCTGCTTTCTGAGAGTGTAGATAATGCTGATCCTAAGACAGCATACGATTTATGAATGTCGGATACCAGTGCATCCATCCATTTCTCCCTATAGCCTCTGCAAAGTACTATTAAGTACACAGTTATTTCCTAATACAGCCAGCCCTCCATATCTGCAGGCTCTGCATCCGCGGTCTGCGGCGGGTTGAATCCACGAATGCGGAACCCACAAACAGCATAGGGCCGACTAAGGGACTTAAGCATCTGTGGATTTTGGTATCTGTGGGGGTTTCTGGGACCAATCCCTTGCAGACACCGAGGAACAACAGTAATTATGGTAGTTTAAATTATATATTGCTTTGCTTTGCTTTTGTTTTTTGTTTTTATTTCTAGCACAAAAGCTAAGACTCATTGTGAGATGCAACCCCTTTGTTTGTTAAACTTAAAAGTTCAACTGACTCATGAAAATTATGGACCCCTTTTCTTCTAGCATACTAAGTCTTCCACATCAAGCATCTCCAGTGTCCCGCACCCCAAGCCTCCCTGCTGTAGATACAAGCTACATTAACACATCTCTCATCCAAGACTATAGGCATCCTTTCCACATGACACCCATGCCTTATGACTTACAAGGTGAGTCGCCGCTTCTCCTGTATTGTTACATAGCATTATGAATGCCTTTGATTTATATAGTCTTCTGGGTGAGTCTAAGGAAGAATTGAAAGATTGGGAAAACGGGCTTGGACCTAGAGAACTGGGAAAAATATATACTGTGATCATAAATAAGTACAGATCCAGTTTCTTGTTGTACCTTCATCAATAGCCAGTATTTTACCACCTGGTAAAACTAGTGCAATGATCTTTAGGTTTTGTGGACTTCAGAGTAGTCTACAAGTTGATTTTGGATGACTTCTTAATATATTGATTTGAATTTTGATATTTATGAAAATTATTTTTTGTTCTTTATACTCAGTTATAATGCAACAGGCATTGTGGCTAATTAAGTTATTATCCTTTAGATAATGCTGAATTGAGACAATGGAAAGTTTTAATTTTTGTTCCAGTGAAACTTGTTCTTTTTTAAAGTATTGGGTTGTCGGGAAAGTCATGATGTATTTTTCTGTTTTTCAGTGCAAAAATGCATCATGACTTTCCCAACGACCCAATAGTTTGAAGTGTCAGTATACTCATTTGTGCAATGTATTTTGAGTTCATAATAATGATTTAGATTATCAAAAAGAATTACTCATTATTCTCATATATCTTTGTAATTTAATAATTTGCATATTAGCCATATAATCTAAGAACACTTTTTTTATTACAAAAGCCATATATGCTCATTGTAGAAAATTTAATACCAAAACACAAAAGTGGAAGTTTCCTTCCATCCATCCCCAGCAAAAAATACCCAGGCCACTGGCAAGGATTCATAGGTGCTGATAGTTGAGTGGATTCTTAGTGATTGTAATGAAAACCTGATTTCATCTCTGTTGAATAGAACTATAGCCACTAGCCACATATGATTATTAAGCATTTGGAATGTGGCTAGTGTGACTAAAGAACTGAATTTCTCATTTTATGTAATACTAGTAAATTTGCATAGCCATATCATGTGGTTAGTGGCTAGTCTATTCGACAGTGCAGCCTTATTCTTCACTTTGTTCACTGCCAAGTCTCACTGTCAGGAACCACAGTGCCATATACATTTTGCAGGTCCTCATGTTATAATCTGTTCTAGTGTAGACAGTGGGTGGCTCCCCAAAATATATGTGTTACTGTCATATTTTTATTTATACCTACTTGCACTTTTCCCGAAGCTTAGAGGTCCTAACGAGGCATTTTATTCATGTTGCTTCACTTGCTCTTGGTTGCATTACACATTAGGCAATATGGACAAGAATGCGCATTAGAAGGAGCGGGCCTGCAATGACTCTCTGGCGCCCAGGGATCAGAGCTGGTCCTTCTGTAATAGCCACCACTCCAGCAGTCGGGTGCCCCCTCCAATCCCTTCCTCCCTCATGCCACTGGAGAGAGAGACTCTGAATTAAGACCTGGTACAGATAGTGGCAAGTGAGCAAATTTGAGAAAGAGAAAGAAACTCTGTGCTACAACTTGGTTAACTTCTTTCAACTTCAAACTTTCATCCACAAAATGAGGGCAAAAATAATCACAAACCTCATGAGGTGCTTGTGAGGAATAAATTAGAGTAGATTGAAAGGTTACTTAAGAGGAAGTAATGAGAGTATTTGGTGAAAAGTACTATGTTAGTTTAAGAGGTCAGTGCTAGATCTAACAGGGCTGCACTGGCCCAAGTTCCACAAATGGAGTCACGGGAAGGGCAAAGCATTGCTAAAGCTTGGCCTTCGTTCAGCCTTAGTAACTTAAAGACGGGAAGGACATAAAACATTCAGCTCAACTCTTCATGTTTAAATAAAATTCTGAATGAATTAGAATTAGCATTTAAGATTTGCATTTGATTTTGAAGTATTGGGGCATTTGGGAGGGTTTTTTGCTTTTATTTTTATCAAATCTGAAATAATTTTTTCTCCCACAGGATTAGATTTCTTTCCTTTCTTATCAGGAGACAATCAGGTATGTTATATGAAAAATTGCTGTATTTTAATTGTATATTAAAATATTTAAAAGTATAATATGTAGGCAAGAGAAAGAAATAAACTTCCTTAGAAAATTCAGAGTAGTCACACCCATTACTGTATTGTTAAGGTTAAGAATGTAAATAAATATCCCTTTATCAGCTGTGCCTGAGTATGTAGTAAGAACAGCATCTAGCTGTTAGTTTCCAGTACTGATTTCTAAACCGAACAGTGAATCATATTGACTGATAAATTTCTTGGCCAAATATTCCAGACTGCCCTCTTTCCTGCTACATCTGAGCATATGCCCCTTTGAAAATACAATTATGAGAATTGCTTGCAATACGAGTTAAAAAACAATAAAAATTTTATTTTTTTATTTTATTAAATATTTCAGAAACACCAGATCCTCAGGATATATTAAAGTTAGGGCTTTTTTCTGCTGAGAAGAAAGCTTATTCATTTATAAGCATCATTAATATTTGTTTTGTCTTTCTTCCCCTCCCTAGCATTATAACACCTCCCTCCTTGCCGCTGCAGCAGCAGCAGTTTCAGATGATCAAGACCTCTTACACTCGACTCGGTTTTTTCCGTATACCTCCTCACAGATGTTTCTCGATCAGTTAAGTGCAGGAAGCAGTACTTCTCTGCCAGCCACCAATGGAAGCAGTAGTGGCAGTAACAGCAGCCTCGTGTCCTCCAACAGCCTAAGGGAGAGCCATAGCCACACCGTCACAAGCAGGAGCAGCACAGACACGGCGTCCATCTTTGGCATCATACCAGACATTATTTCATTGGACTGACTTCCTTGACCCTGCTGCTCCTGTCCCCACCCCAGAGTAAATGAACGTGGCAGAAAGAAGAGAACTTTGTGCTATGTTTTACCTTATTCTGTTTAGAAAAGTACACAAGCGTGTTTTTTTCCTTTTTTTTAGGGAAAAAATTAAAAGAAATGTACAGAGAACAAAACTATATTTTCAGTTTTACTTTTGTATATAAATCTAAGACTGCCTGTCTGATAAAACACTTGTAAAAAAGAAAAACAAAACAAAAAAAAAAAAGGAAAGAAAAGAAAAAAAGAAAAAAAACAAGTACCCACAAACCACCTTCAGTTCAATTTTTCTGGATTCTGAAGATTTTTTTTTGGTCATTTGTCCTATGGTTTTGGTTTTATTTTACTTCAATGGCATTATTTTATTTGCAATAACAGAAAAGGAATTGCATGTATGAAGTTTTAAATTGTGGGCTTTTCTTTGTGGGGAGGGGGCTGCAGGGATAGTTTTAATTTCCATTTTCTAAAAATGACAGACTTGGATTCTGTTTGTGTGTGTGCATATTTTATCCAGCCTTAAATTATAAATCTCATCTGTCCCACTGCATTCCCTGTGTATTTTCAGGACATAGCTTGTGGGTGTGTGTGTTCAGTGTGTGTGTCTGTGTATTTTTCTGTCATGACTGTTCCTTCTCCTCCCGAGTTTGCATTCAGTTGATAAATCAGTTGCCTGCTTTTTCAAAGTGCTTTGAAGGTCTTGAACTCACATATGAGCATCTTTATTGACTATCCCAATTGCATGTTCTCCATCACATACTCTCTCTTATTTGCTAGATATCCCTAAAAACATACCCCATATGTTTTTCAGAGATTGGAGTAAAGCTGTCTGGGTAAGGAGTAGGCTTAGCAACCTGTGAGTAATACACTTTAGTCTAGTTCTTTATTCTAAATTTGGATTGCCAGTATTATGTATTTAAACCAAGTCTGTGAACACCTGCTTTTTTGGCCACAGGGTAATAAGTTTTTATGTAAGATCTTCATACCAAAGTAGGAGGTAAAAATAGTTTAGAAAGCCCTGTTGGGTGTTTTTGTGCAGCTGACAGAGGTAAAATTACATCACCTCAAAAAAGAAAAAAAAGAGAGAAACTTATCCTAAAATTAAATTTAAATTCTCTTTGGAAAAGACAGTGTACCACACATGTCAATCTATAGAAATCTGTCTGATAAACAGTCAAAATTCAAAATGGGCTTGATCCTTAGTCATTTTACTCTCTGGTTCTGAGTGTACTTATTTTCTTAGCTATTGGGTTTTTTGTGTGTTTTTTTCTTCTTCACCTTTTGAAGACAAGCATGACATAGGAAAGTCAATTTTTTTTAGAATTCATGGGTCAGTGATCTATTCTTACTAATAATGGAACATGTAAATATATTGAAAACTGTTTTTCAGGATATGAGTGAGGGTTGAAGGGAAGGAAAAGTGGTTCTACTTGTGTTCCAAAATCCTCTTCAGAGGAGGTATTACGTTTTTCAGGTAATAACTGAAGGTATGGGAAATATTTCTTAGCTGATTAAGAGGTTTAGCAGGTTTAACAGAAAAGATAAAGAAGGTCCAGTTTTCCATACTGGATTCTTGTATCACAGCTAATGTTCTCAGAGTTGATGAAGGACCACCTTTGTGTATAAGAGTGTTGCTTTAAACCTTGCAGTGGTAACAAAAAGACCTACTAGATATAGGTAGAATTCAAGATGGCTGTATCTGGTTGTATGATAAAATTAATGGTTCACATGACTATGTGGCATCTAAAAATAATATGTTTTTTACAGCATCTCTCTGCCACTAAATTGTTGACTTGAATTTTGAAAAACAAGTTGGTGTTGATATGTATATGTGTGTGTGTATATATGTATTTATAGACAAGTGTGTGTGAGTGACAAGTGAGTTATATAGTCTTCCCCTACGCATGTGTATTCCACACATACATGGCTAAACAATTCGTAATAAAAAAAATTCATTGTCGGTTAAAACAGGAAATAGTTAAGTTTTTAAATGAATCTGGTGTTGTGGTGAGTAAATACTTTAAAAACTCTCATTGCCATGTTAACTTAGGCTATTGTCTAATAGTATGGTAATTTGTGTCTAAATTCGGATCGGGATAGAAATTACTTAAATTGTGGGAAGTTGCTTCCTTATTTCACATTGCAGTAGGAAACATTTATATTCAACTACCTAAGGTAAAATGAATAGTTTTCTTTATTTCTGTTTTATTTTCTTTTTCTGTCATCGTTAGTGGCCTCAAAATTCTGATCAATAACTTTGTGTATGATGCTGAATTACAAACTCTTTGAATGATCCAGTTGAAAACCTGTTCCTCTACGTTCTTCAGCCCATTTTGGAGAGGGTTCATTTCCACTCAGTGTCCTGCATTATACCAACCCAGGGGAAGAATAGACGATAGGGAGAAATAAACGTCTGTCTAGTGGCTTTGGTTATGTCTCCACAGGAGAAATGAACCATTCAGTTGTCTATTTTAGTTCATTCCACTCTAAGGAGGTTTGTTCCCTTCAGTTGACTTTCCAAAGTGTTGGCATTAGTAGTAGCCATCACTCTGTTTGTCTCATGACCGATATTAGTCAATCAGACTTTTATGATCTGTAGTAATTATTGGTAGTCATGCACTGCATCTTTATCTTCTAAGTTTAAAAAAGAAAAAGCACATAGTCATTTCATTTATTTGTTCCTTAGCCCGCCCTCACTCCCCCACCCCTGCCAACATTAACATGCTGTTTGTGGACAGATAACAATTAGGCAAGTGGCCATCACCCCCCTCCTTGGTGTTTCATAGTCAGGTGTGCATATGTTTGGGTTGCTGTACAGTACTGTGTGTGTATCACATCTTTGGTAAAATAGCTGTTTGACTAGCAGGGTTGAAGTGGCTTTTAGTTACTTTGTGGGCATTATTGGACACATCTTTTTAAAACAATCTGAACTTTAACCATGCCACATTTGTTGACTAATTTATTTTGAGCATTAAAGTTTTTCTACTTTATTAATTTAGACATTATCACAATTCTATATCATTACTGACTTAGGAAAGATTCACTTAAGCTTCTGAAAAATGTGATTTCTTGGCAGATTTTCCTTTGAGTCAAATGTCTGAAACTGAATGAAATATATCCCAATTTTAAATTGCTAATTGTGGAAGGAACACTGTTTTTAAATAATTCCAGTTTTAAATACATAAAACACTTCAATATCTTCAGGACTTTAAAGCACATTTGAAATTATTTTAGTAAGAATTTTGTTTTATCAATACATGTTGAATTGTTTTTTAATTTAAAAAAGCTTAGATTTCAGAAAGAGGGAAGGAGAGTAGCTGGTGGTCCCAGAGTGTGCTGCTGTTAATTGTTTAATTAACAAAGGGGAAAATGTATATAAACAGATATAAAAGTTACCATAAATTCCATGAACTTAAATCTGTGATTCATTGCCTTAAAACTTTCTCTCTTAGAATTTCCATACCGCATGCCAAACCAGTAAAATGGCTTTTAAAAATGTATAGTAGACCAATGTCGGTTTGTATAAAAGTACCAAGTGAAAATATTTATTACATGCATTGGAAAAAAAAATTGTTTACCTATTGAATGTTACCTGTTTATGTAGAGCTCTTTAGATGTAATAAAAGAAAAGCCTTCAGTTAATTTGTCTTCTGTAAAATATACTGCTGGGTATACAAGGGGACAATCCCTATGAGAAAAGTGATATGCTTTGTGCTTCCAAAGCACCTTTCATCCAGAGATTTCAAAGCATAACAAGTAATTCTGTGGCCACATGCTTTGAGGTAAGTAGTGAATGCACAGTCATCAATCCCCTTTCTTAGTGAAATATGGCTAGCTGTGTAATGAACCACAGCATCTGTTTAGTTTTAATTTTGTTTAATCTGCAATTTGAATGCTAAGAGCACTGTCACCTTTTTTGTAAACAATACTAGGTGCTAGGTAAACCAACTGGAATTTCAGAAGTGAGCATAAAACCCAGACATAGTGGTGAAAAAACCTTTCCTGGGTTTCACAGGGTTTTAGAATCCTAGCCTGAGCATCTTTAATTAAGGACACTGAGTCAGTGGAGATGAGTTCTCATGACTACTCCACACCACTTAATGTGGTTTTGGCAAGCTATATTTCAGATTCCTGTTAGGCAAATCAGATTAATAAAAGTTGCTTTAAATCCATAGTGGGGCCATTCAGTGATAAATACAAAAAGGCTTTGAGGAAAAGTGCCCTAATTTACTAAAGCCCAGAACTTTCTTGCCCTGTCGCATCTAAATCGTAGTGTCTACTGTCTAATCCGTGGTATTCCACATTGGCTGTGCAGGATTTGCTTCCTAATGTCCATGATGAGTTATAAAGAGATATGGGGCTAGTGCCCTTGACCTTGCCTGAAAGTGAAATGTAGCAGTTCTCTGTGGGGTGCCAACATCTAACCAGCCCTGGGGGATTTACCGGGAAGGTCATGAAGTTTAAGCACCTGGGCCCTTCATTTGCTCTGGCCTCTTCTAGGGTCCTGGGAGCACCTCTGGCAAGTCTTTATTTCTATTTTTGTATTCTGAAAGAAGACTGCTGAGGGCTGGCGGAGTGGCTCAGTTGGTTAAGAGCTCGTTCAAGAGTGCAAGCTCATCAACAGCGGTTTGAGTCCCAGCCTGAGCTGAGCTGCCAACAGGTGGCAGGATGGCTCAGCTAAAAAAAAAAACCAAAAAAAGTGCTGCTGAATCATAGAACCCTCAGACCCCACAAAGGCTGGATCTGCCCCTGCACAGTGTGACCTAGAGGATCACAACTTCACCTACTTGGTGGTTTGGGCCATCGATTGCCTACCCTGCATGACACCCTCCTCAGCTCCTAGGCGTTCCTCCCCACTCCCACTGGCAATTACACCGTTGGGGAAAGCAAAGTGTCTCCTTTCTCAGGACCTGGGTTTGGTCTGAAGCCATATAGCATTGTGAGCTAGTTGCACTGAGACCGTGGCTGTCCTGTCCCCTGCAGTTTCCCTTGTGCCTGGCCCTCAGATTTGTGTCTTGTATAACCTCCCAAAAGACACACCTCCCTCAATTTGGTTTTCTTTTGCTTTAGCAACTAAGCACCATTAGACAAAGCCACAGCTCAGAGAGCCCAATTTTGGTACATATAAGGATGAAAATCTCTGCACTTGGAGTTCTCCCTACCCCCCACTGCCCAACATGCCAACCCTTTTTAGGGCTGTGCTGACATTACCAATGGGTCCACAAATTTGAAGAGCACATAGGCAGCACCAGCCAGCACCTCTTGGCTCCATAACCCTTCAGCTGCTTGAGCTGGAATTGCCCCCGGCAGGACTAGTACCCCTACTACTGTTTCCTAGGGTTCTTGCTGTATCATGGCCATGGCCTGTTATTACTTTGCATTAGTCCTGGGGAAATGGCTTGAAGCCATGATCAATTTGACCCACTTGAGCAGACCATCCTAATCTTGCAATCCTCTTTGATTTCCAGTCAGGAGAGAGCTGGAAATTCTGACAGGAGCATCAGAAAGGGCCTTGCAACCTCTAGAAGGCCTCAGAGTCACTTGTGCTCTCCTTAGGTCTCCTTTGGTGTGAGCTGTAAAGTCGGATCCCTCATCCCACTGTTTAGCTGGATGCTGCCTTGTCTTAACATGAGTGCTTTTACCCTATACTGTGTTAATGAATGAATATCCGGAACTATCACTATGTGTTGAGATAGAAACGAGAATTTGTAAGTGGCCCCCCATGGTGCTGCAAGAAATGTCGCAATAGTGTTTTGTTTGTTGTAGCTCTTTTGCTGCAAGAAATGTCGCAATAGTGTTTTGTTCGTTTGTTGTAGCTCTTTGCTTGCTGCTGTTTCTAAGCACTGGTTTTGTCTTTGAAATGTGGAAGATGGCTCCAGCACCCAAATATAGAATATAGTCTTTTGGTAGATTGCCCTTTTTTAGGAGAAACTACCATGGTAATTTGGTAACGTACAGTGCTCTACAGTTCGCAGACATTTTCAATCATCTCAGACCATCCTCAACAGGCTCCAAGAGGTAAGAAATAGGAATCTACCTTTAGGAAGATTCAGAGGTTTCGAAGGGTGGAATGATTTGCCCAAAATCAGATAGCTGAGAAATGGCAGAGTCAAGACTGAAACTGAGGCCCAACTCCAAACCATAGGCTCTTTCATGGTGTTAAGGGATTAATGGCAGTTATTAGTATCAATAGAAATATTAAAGACATGCTAATAACCATGGCTGAAATCATTTATTTGCATTGCTAAGTTATCTTCTGCTACAGTCTGGTAATGTCATCTTGCCATCTCCCTAGAGTGAAAGGAACACTTCTCTTTTTAAAAATTCATCCGTCTGAGTTTTCAGGCCCAGGGGAGGCTCTCTTGCATTCCCTTCACTCAGTATAGTCCCGTGCAGGTATGATGATCTTGTGGATAAATTCATCGTACTTCACTTTGCCATTGGGTTCGACATTTGCTTCCCTGAAAAGATCATCCACTGCAATAAATCACATTAATTTTTCAGTTTGGCTTTCGTGTTACGTTATAGGACATGGAGTTCTTGGAGGTTGGGGCTCCCCAGAGGTCTTCCCTGAGTGTCAAGTTGACTGTTCCCAAATACCAGGAAATAAGCATACAACAGGACAGCCCATCCCCTACCCCTGCAGGCCGCTGATAACAATGGTGAGTACATGGCACTTGCTGCAGGAGCCAGGCTGGTGGGTAGGGAGTATTGGTGAGGATTCAATCACTGAAGCCACCTTATGCTTTTTTTTTTTTTCTTTTAAGAAAAAGTCTGACCCCTGTACCTGTATTTCCATAAACCTTTGGCATGGATTTTACCTTCCACATCCAACGTCCCAGCTGAACAGACACCCTTGGCAGCTTCATCCTGGCCCACCCTGGCCCCGGCTTTGGCCTGCCCCTGACATCCTGCCTTCCCTTCTAGATTGGCATGCCCCATCCCAAGAGGGGACTTGGTGACAAGTGGTGTCTGCCACCATCACCTCTTATTTAAAAGGTGGGAGTGGAGGGGGGTAGTATAAGAAAAATTCAATTGTCTAATGCTGAAAGTGTACAAAACTGCCATTGTCCTCTGACGTTGCGCCAAAAAAAATTACTTCATGTACTTGTTTCTCTGGATTCCTCAGACAAAATACTAGCTTGTCCCGGACACTGGCAAGAAGAGACATTTCAGCTTACACTTCACAGTGGCCCCTCAGGGCCAACCTACCTGTGACTCTTTGAACCTGTAACTCTCTTGCAAAAACTCTCTTCCTGCCCTGTGTCAACTTCCTTGGCCTTAGATGTCCCCAGCATATAATTCTGGGCAGTTAAAAAATACCCTGTGATTCTCTGCTTCACCAGTCTCCTCTAAAATGTAATTACTATGCTCTGTGCCTAAGCTGATAATAGTGCTGAGTATTTTTAGCATGTTGAGGAGACTCATTTATCTTATTTCATGGAGAAGCTTCTATCCAACAGCCACTTGGTTCAAACCATCCCAGGGGAGAGGTCCAGCATGGGCTCCAGTGCCAACCACTGAGCTTCCTCATGTCCAGAGAAGGGGCCACACCTAGGGTCTGCTCGCTGGCTAGTACGGTGGCCCAGAAAGAGCCAGGGTGCTGAAATCAGCCTGTCCCAGGCCCTAGAAGGGAGGCCTCCCTGGTAGCCTTCTTCAGTCAGCTGCTCCAAGGATGCTTCTTAATAAAACTGAAGAGTTTCTTTCCATCACCCGGGATAAAGGATTCCTACTTCTGGTATCATCTTTCCTGTCGCCCACAGCCAAAGGGAGGGAGGTAGTTCTCCATTTGCCAGCTTCTTTGAAATATTTCTCTACTGGTTAAACGAATGAGAAATGTGTAGAGTTTGGGGCCCGTGGTATTGCTTTAGACAGCATTAACCGTGAGAATGAAGGCCCCAGCTGGCCCTCCCTGCAAACACTCCACCTGGTACATAAAGGGCCAAGCAGTGTCCTCAGACCTTGAGGGAGGGAGAGCCCATGTTCCCCCTGTTCGCATTAAAACAGCCACAGTGAAAGACGAGATGGTGATAGCTGCCAGCCTGAAAAAGCGGGGGAAAGCGGAATCTGCCTTCTGTAGCACTATTTTTAAATGCGTTGCTCTGTGCCTTTGTGACTGCAGATAAAATCGAAGCAGGCAGCTTTATAGAATGTTAGCTCTTGGAGGGACCTGAGAGATTGTCTTTGTAGCCTCATTTCCCAACAAGGAAATCGAGGAGGGTGAGAGAGGTTAAGAAATCCATCTGAGGTCCCCTAGAATGAGGGGGAGCCAGGATTCAAATCTAATACAAACCACAACCTTGCAACCTCTCCTTTGGTTTGTTACGATTTAACCAAAGGCCAGCGTTATTGAAGCTGCTTTACTCCACCCACTTGTGTCTTAGCTCACCCGTCCCAACCATAGGCGAGCCCGGGGTTCTAAGTAGAAATCCCAGCCTCTGGGGTTGGTGAGTGTGGACTCTGGTGGTGATTTAAAATGGCTGCTGTGGCAGGACTGAGGGGCCAGCCAGGCAGGCCGGAAGAATGCCAACAAATGGCCCAGCATTGGAGTCTCCCTTTACCAGGTGCAAAGGGCTTTCCCAGAAGTCCCAGGCCCCTTGTCCTGTTCTGAGGCAGGATGGCAGGCCAGGCTGCTGTGAGGT